GTGTGCTCTTCCGATCTAAAATGCAGTTTTAAATAAAATTAACTATTAGCAAGATATAATACACATGAATTACAATGTACATGTCTAAAAAACATTGATCTATTAATAAATCATAAAATTAATGTTATATTATTGGCTAATTGCTTAAATTTTAGCAATTACTAAACCTGCCACGCTAAGTCCCGTAAGGGTGTCGATCTTTAAGAATATCTCGTCGGTGGTAACTGACAAAAATGATATTTTTGTCGGTAAAACAGACGACCGGCAATATGACAGCAACTTGGATCAGGGAAACAACACATTTGTGTTTCTAAATTTTAAAATATTTATAAAACTATTTAAAATGTATTTATAATAAGAGTCTATTCTAAAACCTAATGAATATTATAAATCGTTTAAAATAAAATTTTTTATAAAATCTAATCAAATCATATTCATTGTTATGTACTGAAAAAATTTCATTTTTGAAAACTTGATTACAAAAAAGGTTTAAAATATTCTTGAATTTAAGATTGAAACTTAGAGGTGTAATATTTCGAATTATTTCGCTTTTCTTATAAATTTAGGCGGATAGAAAATAATATTCTCTGGTTATAAGATCATTATTCAGGACCAAAAATTAAGTTATGTTATCAAAGTGCGGACTAGTTTATTTTATAAAAACTATCTTATCGGTACCTGTCAATAACAATAGTGAGACGAAAATGAGAGCAGATGAGATAAAGTACACAAATTTCATGAAGTTATTGGCTATCAGCCGGATATGAAGATTGGAACTCGCTCGAAACAAATGAGATTGAGGATAAGAAATTAAGTTAAGGAATCTTTAACAAAAGCGAGTAATTTTATGATTGGAAGAAGTTTTTTTTTCTCTACTACATGGGAAGGAATCATCGCAGTGATACGACCAATTCAAACGATGACGTAATTTCATTCTGTCTTCCTCCATCGCCTATCTCGCTTTCGTTCTAGCCTCTCACCTCAAGTCCGCAGCATCTTTTCGCGCGACCGTAGCTGCGTGACGTCCGCTAATCGAACGAGAAACAGAGAGATGCAATCTTCTCTTCCTTCTTCCTTTCTGCACCCCCCTCTCTCTCTCCCTCTTCCTTTTTCCATCCCCCCCTTACGTAGATGCCCACACTCTTCTCTTTCTCGCTCTTTCAACCTTTATATAGTGCTCCATCTCTGTCTTATCGGCAATCATCTATCTCGGTCGTTTACGTACCGGTCGCAGCGATGCAGCGGTGTAGCTGTTCCTCTATCCTTCTCCCATGTCTCTTCTCACTCTCGCATTCCCTTTTCGCTTCCTCTTTCTATTCCACAAACATACTCTACGTAGAACACACAATTGTCTCTCTCCTTCTTTCTTAATATCTCTCGTTTCCTCTCTTTGAAAAGTGGCTCTCATGCAGAACTTCCTCCGCCTATCACTCCCACCAGTTTTCGATCGCCCCGAACTCGCTGTCTCTTTTCTTCTCGAGTCTTCAAAATTACTCCCCCCCTATCCTCTCTCGCTCTCTCTCTCTTTCTGTCTTTCGTACGTTTTATCTCCGTTCAACGTAACCATTCCTCTCTCACTCGCTTTCTCTCTCGCGGTTTGATCGTTTATTTCCGTCCAACACGGCCGTTCCTTCTCTTCCCTCTCTTTCTGTTGCGTGCGCGCGCCCCACGAGGAAACACGAAGTGCCGCGCCGTGAGTCGGGAACGGCTGTTGAGTTCAGGTTCAGTTCAGTCTCGCTTCTCGCGTCGATCGTTACGGAGTTCTTTTCCGCGGCGCGTTCTTTCGCCGTCCGTTCTCCGTTCAACCGGGGGACTCATGGAGAACCGTGCGGGCCTGACAGGTGCAGTGCAGTGTCATAATTGAGAGGACAGAGAGAAACGTGGCCGGGAAAAACCAAGGAACGAGAAACGAGGAATAAAGGATGGATGAAAGATATGCACTCGCGACGCGGACAACAACGACTCGATCGAAATAATAGGCTTCCTTGTAGTATGTCACTATCACGATACAATACAACCGACACATTTATTTATTAAACAGCACTCTATTCTCTAACGATTAAATAAAGAAAAAAAAAGTTAAAAAGAGAAGTCGTACGCGCAACTTTTGACGATCTTTCCCCGCATGATCGAGATTCCGATTGAGACGACTCTTGAAAATTTCGAACGACTCCGAGGACACCTATCGCGCGCGAAGAGAGTGTCATTCAAAAAAGTCGCGGCGTTTGAAGGGTGCCGCGCGCACGCGAAGTCGCCTGTGCCAACGATTCAGCTGATCGAGAGAAGGGGTTTATTGATAATTGCGGCTCTCACGGTGTGGTCGCTAAAGTTGTTCGATCGGGAAGCTCATCCGTGTTTATATACGAGGTAAAGACACGAATATCGTGAAATTCTCAAGAGAGTGGCAAATATACAGAAGCGGTAGCAAAAAGTAGCAATCCATTTGGAATGTCGACGTACGGAAGGTGGATTCCGTGGCCGGCGAGGACGCGTTTTCGACACTCGATAAAATCGCCGGCGATCCGTCGCAGCTGAGAGATCAGATGATTGACCGGATTGATTGATCGCGCTATCTTGCAGCTTTCCTTCGGCGATTCGACACTTTTTTCGACACGTTCGTCCTTAAAGCTGGCGAACGTGCGACGGAAAGAAGGGAATTTCTTGCTGTTAAAACGCACCGCAAGTAATTTTGGAATTATTCGCAGAAGATTCGGAAAAGGTGCAGCAGGTGAGAAATCATTTATTGCAACTGCTATTACATTTCAAGAAGCTTACAATTAGATCTTTGCCATCGAAATAATTGAATTTCGAATTTTGCGGGATATTTTTTTAATTGTGAAATTTCTTGAAAATTATATTGATTTAGCAAATTATGATGCATGTTTTTAATCTATTAATATAAATTAATTTTAATCTTGGTTCACTTTTTATCTTTTTCTAATTCGCAGCACTAGAAAAAGATAAAAAGTAAGTTAAACCGAGGTTAATCTACATTGGTGAAAATGGATATTTGTTTGTAATGCAAATATTAATATGATTAACTTGCACGCTTGTTTAATTTATATCCTATGTAATTTAATTCGTATAACTATACGAATTAAATTACATAGGATACAAATTGTGTAATCAAGATATTTTTTTTTATTATAAGTAACACCTAAGAAAATCCAAGATCGATGTAACGAAGCAAAAGCGATATGTAAGAATAAATTCTGTAAATGTGTGAATTAAAATTTTGCGACGGTTTAATATGTGAATATTTTAGTTCTCTAATTTTTTATAATAAATTTTCATAATTACAAAACTATTACATAACTATGTAATAGTTTTATTACATAACTATGTAATAGTTTTGTAATTATGAAAATTTGTTATAAAAAATTAGAGAACTAAAATATTCAAATATTAAATCGTCGCAAAATTCTAATTCACACATTTACAGAATTTATTCTTACATAGAATATTCCATTGCTAAATTATCAAAATTTTTACTGATTGACTCAAAACAGTAATTGCTTTAGATTCATTCTTTTTTTGTTTGGTTTTATATGAAATTAGTATGAAAAAAATATATAATACAAAGTTCATTAAGAATTTATTCTTACATATCGCTCTTGCTTCGTTACATCGATCTTGGATTTTTTTAGGTGTTATAATAAAAAAATATCTTGATTACACAATTTTATTATATTTGAATAAATATCAAGTTTAAATTACTTTAACCACAAAAAATGGTGCCATTTTTTCGCATGAAGAAATCCCGCGACGGTTACGTTGACGGATGTTCAAGGGTGCAGGCGCCTGCAATGGTTACCTCCATTAGAGCGAATGAAAAACAGAGTATAAAGCAACGTATTTGCTATTAAATAAAGTTAAAAAACAATGAGAATTAGTTTTATGTATCTATCAATTTACTTTTGATTTAATTTCGAATCTGATGTACATACATTATAATATACATACTTTCTCAAAAGTTTGAAATACACAGCATTTTAGATATATCGTTCCTCTCGAGATACATACATCTTTTGTTTTTTATCATAAATCTTGCCGTTTAATGAACTTTGTATTATATATTTTTTTTATACTAATTTTATATAAAACCAAACAGAAAAATAATGAATCTAAAGCAATTACTGTTTTGAATTGATCAGTAAAAATTTTGATAATTTAGCAATGGAATATTCTCCAACATAATAAAAATAATTTTACAAAATCATTGATGGCATCGAGAGAGAGAGAGAGAGAATATTTAAAAGATGCATAATAATGAATTGCCGGATAGTTAATATTAACTTAATAACTGCAGTTTAATACATTAAGTATTATGACTATTATGCAATGAAAATGAGCTCAAGGCTCTGCCTATCCATCGAGCTCATCGCGTTGTGGGCGAGCTTTAACCAAATATGCAGGTATCAAGGCAGATTGCCGATATTGCGAAACCGTGTCGGATAAACATTTCAAAGTTATTATGAATATGGAAAGCAATCTTAGAGTGGGTTTATGATACGTATAACTAAAGTGATTGCAAATGATTTATTTATTTTCCGAATGAATATGTGTGACGACTTTATAGTATTGAATTTAAAAATTTGTGATAGATAGTTTTTTTCCGCTATGTAATTAGGAATAAATATGATTCATAGAATATGCTAATTATAAGCAGAAAAAGTGCAGAAAAAGTGCGTCGTAGAGCCGCAATATTGAAGTCTCCGGAAACTTCTCCGCTTTACGCTCTTTAGCGTGCAAGCATTGAAATCTCTGGTGATTTTAACGTTCGATGCTATATTTATAGCATCAAATTACATTGGTATTTAAACTATAATTTATACATTAATTATTTCAATTTTATAGTAACTTTTAATTGTATTATTACATAAATCAATATTATTATTGTAATTATTATTAGTAAGTAATATTTATTCTGTAATATTATTATTAAGTAATATTTATTATTGTAATTATTATTATTAAGCAATATTTATTCAGTACATTACATCGAATTATAATATTACGAATAATGAATATAAGAATGAAGATACGTACTACATTTATATTAAATTTATATTAGAAATAACTCGAGTCCTAGTAAAAAATCTAATACATAAATTATTTTCTTTGTAATTTTCTATAATAGAGAAAAAAAAATTTTCAGGTGTAGGATTTTTCCCACGTAAATATCACTTGAATCATTATACTGTCCTTGAATTTTTCGATTAGTGTCCCCTCCCGTACAGAACCGACACCTTAATTCATGTGCGCGACAGCTGTTTCCGCTGCCGAAATACCTGTCCACATTTGTTACTATCATTCAACCTTGGTATACTATGGACTATTAATGTACCTATAAGATACATGTTTTTAAAAAAATTTAAACTACGCTAATAAAAATTATGTAAATAATTTGTTAATAATTCTTTCAATAATATAAGTCTTTTTCTCCGTTTAATAATAGTTTGTTATATTAATATTATTTCATTCTTTTATTTCTCTGAAAAGATACATGTCGCATTTTCTAAAAAAAATTTTCTCGCTCCCCATCGCAAGAAACTCGCGCGCCACAAGGTACACGTCCCTGGTCGCGATTACGAATCTGACCGGTGTCCCGCCGTTGCCGCCTCCCGTACCGTAAGAAAGGTGGAAGCTGCGGTACCACGGCATATTCTCGGTGAGATGTCGATCTCGGTAATAATCTCAGCCGGTCTCGTAAATCACGGAGCATGCCGCGATACATATCCGGCGCCAGTCGGATCGAAAAGGACTTGGCGTGCGCGCGCGCGCGCACGAAAATGGCGACCACAGCCACACTGCCATAGTCGACCATGGTGGTCCGGTGGTGGTCGAGGTCGACCGTGCTCCACCGCCGCCGTCGCCGTTGCCGCCGCTGCCTATCGTGGTGTACTAAAAAGTGAACGTTGCATCGTGCATCGCCGCGCCGCCGCCGCCGCCACCACCGCCACCACCACTACTACCGCCACCACCGCCTTCGCGAACAAGCATGTCGCTTTCTCGACGGGCTGCGAGCGCCCGAACGGGGCTCCACTATACTAGCCCGCCTGAAAACGTTCACCTGCTGTCTGTAACGCCGAGATTGGCCTTAACCCTCGCTCGGGGTGACGTCACCACGTGCGGGGAAGCGCGCGATTTTTTTTTCTTTCTCTTTTGCACGTCCCCGCTTCGAACTGCGATTCGTGGAATGGGGTGGAGAAAGAATGCGAGGCTATCGTCGTATCCCAAACCGAATTATAGGATAGAATGGAGAAAAGTTAAGCGTTTTGAATAGACCCCTTAATTCTGGAGATTAGATAAAACTAATATGAGGATAGAGGATATCGGATACAATTGAAAACGGGCTCAAGGTCGATGTTGCGAGAGCGATGGTGTAATAAAGAAAGAATGATCCGGTTTATGGAGCGAAACTGTTTCAGTCGTTATGTTTTAAAGTGTTTTATTAAAGTTGTTTTGAAGACAAATACAAACATTATCTTACCCCTTATATTTCTTATAATAATATAACAAAGAGGAGTTCATTATTCGAAAAAAGATTTTCTTTATAGAATCCGACACTCATCTTTATAATAATAATATAATGAGTATTTATAAATATTGTACTATTACATATAAATATCTACAATATCTCATACTTCTTAATAATATTTTTATAAATTATCAATAATTTTTTAATAAATAAATCTAATTTTAAAATATTTTTTTAAAAAGAAACCAAGTTACCTCAATAAATTTATTAACTATTGCTGCCGCGAATAACATTAATAAAGGATATTTTTTGCAACAAGCGTGCAAGCATGATAAGAGGCGGCGAATGTTCGTATTTGGCGCCTCTTGCACGGCGGAGACGATGTTTGCGCGATCGATCGTACTCGTGCGCGAGTTCGACCCAGTTATTAATAAGACTTTCTCTTTTATTTTAGCCATGGACTGGAGGGGATTCGCGCTGGCATTTCTGGTGGTGAGTAAACACAAAAAACTATTTCTTTTCCTACGCACAAGAAAGTTCACCTTGAACGAACGAGATATCTTAAATCATCTAGCGACATTTGATCCTTTTGCTTTCTTCTACCGCATTTTTCGCAGAACACAAGTTAAGATATATATCTATTTATGTTGCAGAATTATTATATTCTAAAGTTATTATTCTCGTAGTGTTATTATTATTTAAAAAATTTTATTTTGCAATTATTATTGTACATCTGTCACTGAATGTAGTCTAAATAAAAAAATCGCTTATCTTTATTTTAAATAAGCAAATAAAGATTTTTGAAATTGAATCAAATAAATTAATTTTTTATGTATTAATATTTAATTGATCCTTTTATCAAATATAATTGCGTACTGTCGTCATGCTAGATTCTTATTAGCATTATTTAATTTGCTTTTGTTTCTTTTATTTTATTATGCAATACTGTTGAAAGAAAATCAATATTTTTAGTTTTATTTTATATTTAATTGAAAAATATTATCAAATTTCTGTCCCTTTTTCTTGCATTAAATACTTCGGTATAACAATATACAATTTACCTTAAGTGCAACAGCTTAAATTAAATTTAAACATAATTGTATTCTAAATTTATTTGCATTTTACAATTCGCGCGTGGCGAAGCCGACATACAACGCTTAATAACAACAGTAACGTAAAAAATGCACACTCAAAACGGCACGTTTGTCGCACGATTCTATCATTAATAGTTCCGTTTAAAGAAACCGATTGATAGATTATCCCTGCGCTTGACTTGACATCCTGAGGTCGAAGAACGAGGAGATAAATGTATTACAAATACGGCTCTCGCGCACTCGCAATCGTTTCGGATAGGCGTGGATTAATGGCGTCCGTAATATGTACACACACTTTCTCCGCGTGCGTGCCGGCGTCGCGTCGTACACGCGGCATTACTTACAAGATACCGTGGCGCATTATGTAATCCTTTGTTGGCGCACGACACATCCGAGAAAGGTGTCTGCACGGCTGCGTCGCTGCAATGAACCGCATCGGCGGTGTCAAACGGCCGCGCAGAGATTCTTAATAATGCTCAGATCGACGCCGTTCGTCGATGGAAATTTGACAAACGAGCCACTCTTGAGAAAGCAGCTGGACGGCTTTCGAGCGATTTTCAGGCATACAGCGACGGAATATGCGTGCGAGATTTTCTCTCTAATCGCGCGCCAGCGCGCGTCGCTGCTCAGTTTTTCAAATTGTCAACGGAGTCAACGATAGAGTAAAAGTCCGATACCGTGTGATACTTGAATCTCTCTTTTCTCATATCAGACATTGATATCACTCTCGAAAGTTCTTTAATTATAGCAGAAATATCATTGAAAGTGAATATAGACCGACTGAAATAGAAGGGGAAAATAAATTACTAATGTTTTCTGATAAATATCTCGTTAATTAGCGAATCTCGCGAATTTTTATTTTACAAATGCGAAAGGGAAAGAGAGAAATGTCGGGAGAAAATTTGCTGTTCACGTACTATGAAAGCTATTTAAAATTTATAGCGCAATATACTTTATATTTTTAAAGCAAATTGAGATTTTAGTTGTATGATGGCATTGAAAAACGACATAAATAAACAAGTACGGTAATGCAGGTGCTTAAGTGTGACGGTGTCTTTCACGGCGGTTTCGGAGAACGTTATGTCACCGTACCTGACAATAGTCGTGGGATCGCTTTCTGGATGAGAGGCTGACGGATTTAATGTCGTTAACCTATTCAAGAGGCGGTAATCCCGGCGCGTTACGTAACACATAATAATTGGCAATTACGCTAAACTTGGCGTTTACGTGTGGCTCGGGTCCCTCTACGGCACAGGATCTTCGAAATCGCGCGTCGGCTAATACATACGATAGAAAATAACCAAGTGCTACCGCTTATCATTGCAAAACTTTCCATTGTTAGTATGCATTACTTTGCACAAGATACGAAATAAAAGCCGTCACAGTTAATGTACCTAATTCAATCTCCTGACACAGTTATATATTTTTTTCGATTATCTTCGATTATCAAGCATGAAGAATTAGTCTTAAATTAAGATAGATGTTCTCATGTATAAGAAAAAATATTATAATCTTCTTAACAAATTTTTTATAAATTTTTATTTGATTGAATTTTTTAAAAGTTTTGATTTGATTGAATTTGGATTGATGCAAGTATTACTTTTGGACTCAATTCAAGATTAAAAATTCTATGTATGAAAATTGTTTAATATTTTTGCTTAGAGAAGGGCTCATCAGTACAATTTATACATTTTCGCCATTTTGACTTTTTAAACAACCATTTATTATGATTAAAATAGTTTAAATGAGTATCAGGAAAGACCGTGTAATGTTAAATAACAATTGAGACCTTAAAACGCCAACAACGGTACAAAGCGGATCTTGGTGCTTTCATATAATATTAGTGTAAATCTTACAATTTTCGATTCATATAACACCACGTGGTCGCAAATCGCGTGTATCTCCGTAGCTCCGAACCAAATAGTATGTAATATTACAATTAAATTGCCAAAGACAATCTAATAAATCGATGCTCAAAGCATCAAATCCTGTGAAATCCCCCTCAACTTCGCGACATCAAATAAATACTAACTTGCATCTATACTCGCGTCTATAATCTGCATCTATAATCTGTAAAGAATTTATTGCGAAAAAATATCACCTCATGTTCTCAGCCAGGAATCGAACCCGGATCTCGTTTGCCGGACGGGCGTCCTACCTTTAGACCACCGAGGCATGTGATAACATTCATCGCAATAAACAATCTAGCGCGTTTTCAAGCCGCGTAAATTCAATATATACATATGTTTGAGCGAATGTATTAGCAAAGCGACGTATAAATAAACGAGTATCAGGAAAAACCGTGTAATGTTAACTAACAATTGAGATCTTAAAACATCAACAACGGTACAAAGCGGAAAATAGTTTAGTAAAACTATATTTAATTTAATAATAAACTATATTTAGTTTGATAAAACTATATTTAATTAAACTATTGGAGTAAGCTGGCTGCAATGCAGACAGCATATTCATACTTCAAAGAAACGATACACAGAAATCGGTTCTACCACGAAAATGTAGAGAAAGCTCTTTTTATTATGTTAGACTAATATAATAAAGAAAGCTTTCTCTACATTTTCGTTGCAGGACTGATTCCTGTGTATCGTTTCTTTGAAATATGAACATGCAGTCTGCATTAGCAGCCAGCTTATTCCGATGTGGGATAAACTGATACATATCATGATGTAATTAGCCTACGCAATAAACTTTATGTTAAATTAATGAAAATATAATGGAAGTAAAAGACAGATTGCAGATATGCACTTTTTAATAATGATCCCGTTTTTTAAAGTTATTTCGTAATGATCGAATAACAAAATGCTGTTATAGAAAGATAAATGTAAACTATTTTAAACTTAACTTGCTTCAATACAAATATTAAATAAAAAGCGTTTTGTCATAGTTAAGTTGTAAATGAAAGTTCAGACGCTTCTTACAATAAGTCAAGCTTGTTTTAAATATGAACTAACGTGCTCCATCCTTACATACGTTTGATTTCATCATTTTGTTTTAATAAATTACGGTTATTCAAAATAACATGTATAACAGAAATTTTTTCTTTTAACTAATAATACACGTCACTTAGATTTAATCTCTCCAGCTGAAGAACATTAATAAAATACAAAGTTTTGAAACGCTTGAAAAATTTATACTTGCTTTCTCTTAAATCGGATTTTCTCTTTTTTTTTTATTTTAATATTTGTTTAATTTAACTAAAACTTTAGAAAAAAGTACCTGTTAAAAGAGGTATTTTGCAGTAACTTTTCCATTGTTTTCTTTGTCATAAATATAATACATAAACGGAACACAATGCAAATTTATCTTTCGTGCCAACGAGCCTCAGTCTTCTCGATTGATTTCAGACTACACTGTTAAATCTATAGTGTCAAATTTGACTTTACTTAAATCGCCACTACTCCTACTTAATATAATTATTTTTAACTAAAACAATATAACTATTTTTAAATAAAACAATAGAATTTAACCAAAATTTGGGTTAAAATTGAACCGTTTTAAATTATTTAACTTCACTGTTGTAGCTAAAAATAACTATTTATTAAGTAGGAGCAGTGGCGACTTAAGTAAGGTTAATTTGACACTATAGATTTAACAGTATAACTCTTTTTCTTTTTATGTCTAATGTGCTCTATTTAAACATTTAGAGAATGTCATAAAAATATGTTGTACATTCAATGGCATGTAAATCACTTTAATGACTATAAAATATTCTTCTCTGTGTGTGAGAAAGCATTTCATGAAATTGGAATACAAACTCTCTTTTTTTGTTTTGTCGGTGAACCGTGAAGAATGACGCGACAAGTGCGCGTGTCGACTTTTATTGAAACATCCTGTTGCACGTAAGAAGAAAAGACAATCCGTTCAGAACCGCCACGCCCACTTTTACTTCGTGTTCTTTTAAATATCGACACGAGATCTTGGTGAGCCTGGCGCTCGCTGGCGCGTTTCCATAAACGTTTCACTTTGCGGCCGATAGAAGACCGCCGATAACCGGAAGCGTGACGCCGAATGTACACCCCGTAATTCGTTTGTCCATTCCTTTATTACAACAGAACGAGAACTCGACAGTTATAAATTCTGCAAACAACGTCACCATTCAACTTCAATGTATATTACGTCATGATTTCCAATTGAAAGCAAAAGGTCACGCATTGAGAAAAAAAAATTGTTGAAAAACTCAAAATTTCACCTTACCAAAATATTTAGTCCGATACACTTAGCTAAACGTTACCATGACACAAAATAATTTATTACTATTATAAACAAAATACTATTTTTTTACTAAACTATTTTGTTTCAACAAAAATTTATCGTATTTAACTCAATCGTTCGATTAAAAATACACACTATTTATTATCCCCATCAGCATCGTTTAGTCAG